GATACAAGAGTTTTGTACGTTCGCGTTTATTGGACTCGTCGTCGATTTTTATATGCAGGTTTGGGGTGGTTTTTGGTGTATTTTGGTTTATTTTTTTGTTTTTTTTAGTGATTTTATTTATCATTTATATATGTATAATTAATGTTTATTGGGTTATTTATTTATTTGTTTATTCGTTTTTCTTTTTATGATATTACATATTATATGGTTAAGATGGTTAAGCAGTTGCCAAAAATACCTGCAGGCTAATGGCAAAAATTCCTGCGGGCTACAAGCCACGCCTTGAAATTCCTGCAAGCCACGCCCCAAATGTCTGTAAGCCACGCCTTCGGTCAGATTTGTCTGAACCACGCCCCTGCCCATGGATTTAGTCAGCCACGCCTCCTGTCAAATTTCCCTAAACCACACCCCTCCGCATGGCTTCAGCAAGGCACGCCTCCGCATTTTGTCTGTAAGCCACGCCCCCTGTCAAATTTTTCTGAACCACGCCTCTTCCCATAGCTTCAGCAGGGTACGCCCCCGCATTTTGCATGCGTTGCGTATGCGTTAGGCGGTTGCCGATCGATCGATGGATCGATGGAAATTGATTAGCGAGGGCAGAAGGCGTGTTTCAGTTGTTGTTCTACGTGCCGTGTTTGGTGTTCGATTTGTCGCGATTGAATCACGCAGACAAGCAGCAGTTCGCGTTAATGCTCTTCAACTCGGACATCAGACACTTCAAAAAGTATCCCAACTTGACGTGCGTACACTCCCATATTCTCTTTTTTTAGTGTATTATTTAGTGTATATACTATTTATTATGTATATTATTTATTATTTGTGTTATTTATTATTGTGTAAAAGTAACAAGTAACAATTGAATATTGTTACTTGACATCGAGCGATTGTTTTGTTGGTGGCTGTGAGCGATCGACGGAATATTTATTTTGTAGAGTTATTTGATTATTTATTGGATTGATGTTATTTGGCTACTTGGATTAATTAAGCAAAGTATTCACGGCAACTAATTAATTACTCGGTTGTGTTCGGTCGGTTGGCCTACTCGCCAGCTAGCCAGCCGGGTGGCGGCGTGAATTGAGGCTAAAACAATGCGCACGGAAACATTGCAGCATTGTGGCTAGCCAGCAACTTTAGTTACAAACGTTTGATGACAGCCGTCTGCTTGCTAGTGCAGGTAATCCAGGTAATACCTGTCCAGGTAATTACTATGATCAATTAAAGGTGTCCAGTGCTGCGTATATGGCCCCGGCTGTACGCAAATAAGACGAAATTGCTTCGTGTTAAATCAGATTCAGAGCTGAAAAATAGCGATGAGGAGAATGATAGTGAAAATATTCAGGAAAAGTATTGCAAAATGAAAGGTTTTTAGTTATTATTGTTATTGTTTTTATTGTTATTATTTATTGTTATTGTTTTTATTGTTTTTTATTGTTATTGTGATTATTATTTTTTATTATTTTTATAATTTATTATTGTTTTTATTATTTTTATAATTTATTATTGTTATCGCATAAATAATCGCAGC